TGACCTTGAACTCACAGATCCTCCTGCCTCTGCCTCCCAAGTGCTGGGATTAAAGGCATGTGCCACCATGCCTGGCTTGTTAACAATAGCCATACCTTTCTAACCAGCTTTGTGACTGTCAAGGAGAGCTGCAACACGGAAAATTATGATGTGAGAATGTGGATGATTATTTAATATAATACTGTTATTCCCTAAGAATCAAATCCAAAATGAATTAAGGCTTAAAAGAAAGAAAAGGTGGCAAAAAAGACTTCTAAATACATTTCTAGCAAAAATGGATAGGATTCATGGTTGGAGAGTGGCTCAGCAGTAGTTAGGAGTAATTACTGTTTTTGCAGAGAACCTTCCATCCCCTCCTAACACCCACATGTTTGCTAACACCCATCTGTAACTCCAGTTCCGGGGAACCCAGTGCCCTCTTCTGGCCTTCGTGGGCATTGCACAACATGGGTATACCTACATACATGCATGCAAAACACTCAAAAGTTGACAAGACTCCCCAAATAGTACCTGCTAGGTGCAGTTTTGCAGTGCCTTTAATCCCAGCACTCCAGGAGCAGAGGCAGGCAGATCTCTCTGAAATTGAAGCCAGCCTGGTCTACATAATGAGTTCCAGGACAGCTGGGGCTAAACAGAGACCCTGTCTCAAAAACACAAACAAAAATAGTACCTATTTAGCTTTATCCCCTTATGTCAACTCCAATAAATCAGAATGGTTTTCAAGCTCTAAAATGTAAAATAACACATCGAACCTGGATAATTAACTGATGATTCACTTGGGTTGCTTCCTGAGTGGTGGAAAAACAGAAGTTTCAGAAATGCTGTGCAAAACTGAAAAGTACTGAAAGAGTGGAAAACTGCCAACTTTCCTAGTTTTATGATTTTAAAAAGGTAGGTCCGGGGCTGGAGAGATGGCTCAGTGGTTCAGAATACTGACTGTTCTTGCAGCAGACTCAAGTTCGAATCCCAGCACCCACATGGCAGTTAACAACTGTCCATAAATCCAGTTCCAGGGGATCCAACAGCCTCTTCTGTCCTCTGTGAGCATTGCACGACAGGAGTGCACTTATCTACATGCAGGTGTAACACTCGTACACATAAAAATAATATATTTTTTAAAAAAGGTAGGTCCCAGAAAATACTAACATGTATTTGACTTAAGTATCAGATTATTGCAAGCTGTGCCCTAGTTTTGCTAAGACACTATTTATACAATAAAATAATTGGTTAGTGTACACATGACCTTAAGCCCTCAGTCTTCTGGGAATCAGTTGTGTGTAAATGTAATTGATTAAGTCCTTGAAAGTGTATATGACTGTGTAGTGCTACAGGAAATAACTGAAATCAATGTCATTAATTTCTTCTATAGCACTGATAAACTGACAGATTATAGGAATCCATATAGAAGAGTCAGGATTTTTTAGTTGTTGCTACTGTTTTTCAAATAGGAATCCAGGGTTCAGTTTGGCCTTGAAATCATAATCCTCCTGTCTCAGCTTCCTGAGAATATAGGCACATGTCTTTTTGTTTGCTTGCTTGTTTCTGAGTCAGGGTCTCCCTGTAGATCCAGCTGGCTTAGAACTTGCTGTGTAGACCAGGCTGGCCTCAGTCTCACAGAGATCCACCTGCCTCTGCCTCCCAAGTATTTTGAAGCATTATTTACTGTTGTGAAGGTAATCTGCCTAATTAAACATCTGCACTGCAAGGTCTTTGTAAAAATTTATTTTTATTTTAGTTTAAGGAGTTAAACTGAGAGGAAATAGATCTAAAATTCCAAAAAGATCTAAAACTCCAAAACTCAACTTTTTTTTGAGACAGGGTCTCCCTGTAGTCCCAGCTGTCCTGGAACTCACTATGTAGACCAGGCTGGCCTTGAATTCACAGGGATCTGCCTGTCTCTGCCTCCCGAGTGCTGGGATTAAAGGCGTGCGCCACCATGCCCAGCTCTTTTTTTTTTTTTTTTTTCCCTAGGGTGTCCAAATTCTACATGATTTTCGAAACTGTTTCATTGTGAAACATGTTTCAATGATTTGAAACACTTTTACCAAGTTGATAAGATTCTGGAGTCTATCATGACATCCACATTTATGGTGTTAAGAATTCATGCGGTAGCTAGGCACTTAGGAGGCAGAGGCAGGCGGATCTCTGTGAGTTCAAGGCCAGCCTGGTCTACATAGTGGGTTCCAGGTCAGCTGGGGCTACAGGGAGACTCTCTTAAAAGACCACACACACACACACACACACACACACACACACACACACACACCACACACAAATTCATACCGTGCTGATACTGAAATAAAATGGAGGAAAAAGGCGGGGGTCTTGGATAAAACTAAGTTTCAGTTTCATTTCTTTGAGTCATTCAGGCTGGGCTAATTCACTGTTCTTTTTAGATCACGATGGAGATACTGAATCTACATGCTGCTTTTCTGATACCACAGGCTCATAAACAGGTTTGGATCTTAAGCATCAGTTTATAACCCACCTCTTTCCCTCATTTGTCCCCCAAACCTATGTTTGAATTCCCTTCACTTTTCCTGTGAAATGACTACCAGGGATATTAGATCACTTAATCTCTTAGTCTTAGTTTCTACAATTTTTTGTTTTTGAGACAGGATCTCACTATGTCAGTCAGGTCTCCATTTGTAATCTTGCCTTGGCCTCTGAAGTGTTGCGATTACAGATAGGCAGTTACATGCCTGGCTTCAGTTCTAAAATAGAGAATATTACCCATCTCAATGGATTAAATGAAGTAATAAAGCATTTTACAGTGCCTAACAGGTGTTCAATGGATTAGCCTTAAATGTTAGCTTAAAAATGACATTGGAGACTGAGGGTATAGCTCAGGTGTAGAGCCTAAGCTTAGCATACAGAGGCCCTGAATTCAATGATTGTAGAGTTTGTAAAATCTCTTAACACATTGTGAAATTAGTTTCAATTATACAGTGTCCAGCTAATTTTTAAAAAGGTTATAGGAGCTGGAGAGCTACCTAAGAGGTTAAGAGCCCTTGCTACTCTTGCAGAGGACCCGGATTCAGTTCCCAGCACCCACATAGCCACTAACAGCCATCCATAACTCCAGTTTCAGGGGATGTGATGTCCTCTTTTGACCTTTGTGGGCATTGCATGACACAGGTGCACTTACTCATAAAATAATTTAAAGAAGGATATAGAAGTGGGGCCTGGTGGTACACATCTGTAATCGCAACGACTGGGAGGCTGAGGTAAGAGGCTCATGAATTCTAAGCCAGGCAGGGCTGCATATATAACAAGACTCTGTCTCACTGCCTCCATCCTAAAATAGAATACAAAACAAGTAATATATGTTTTATTTCATAAGATCTTTGTTTCCATGTAAATGTGGGCATATGTTATATATATATATCTATATGGCATATAAGTGTACATGATATAAATTTATAATCTAGCATAGTTATGGATGTACTACATGTTTTGGTTCACAGTGTTACATGTATTATGGTGGATCAGGTGGAAAACATTTTGAGAAATATTGTATCATATATTAATTTTCTTCCTTTGCTGACTTTCTACATTGAACCTTATTTTCAGAGATTATCCCTCTGTCAAGGCCTTAGAACTACTTTAAAAATATTTGTGTGTGTGTGTGTGTGTGTGTGTGTGTGTGTGTGCATGTGTGCACGCATACAGTCAGAAGAGGGCGCTGGATCCCCTGGAGCTGGAGTTAAAGGTGCTTGTGAACCTCCTGATACCTGGGAGCCAAACTTGGGTCCTCTGGAAGAGCAGCAAAGGCTCTTAACCCCTAAGCTATCACTCCAGCTCCATAAAATGCTTTCTATAAAATACTTTTGGGGACATCGAGATGGCTCAGTGGGTTAAAGGTACTTGCCACCAAACCTAATGACCTGAGATTGATCCCAAGGATCCACACGGTGGAAGGAGAGAACTCCAGTAAGTTGTTCTCTGAACCTAACGTGGATGCGCGCGCGCACACACACACCACACAGTAAATGTAACAAATAGTTTAAAAATATTTTTGTTTCTAATTCTTAGCACGATACTTGAAACGGAAAGTTATAAGTACACCTTGATTGAACCAGGAACAAGAATAAGAGCTGGTCAAAGTGGCACAATTGTGTAATGCCAGGCCAGTGAGGGCTCCATGGTGAGTTCCAGGCTGCCTGGGATAGATAGTGCGATGCTGTCTCGCAGAAACATATTACGAAGATACATAGACTAACTTGAACGTTTTAGATTTGTTTTCCTGAAATGCCAGACATAATTTCGAAAGGATTCCAGAGAATTCCTTAAAACCTTATCCACAACCCTGAAACCCTAAATTAAGAAGCCAGAAAGAAAGCAGTCAGGAGTAGAGTCCTAATACCAGCTCTTGGGAGACAAGAGGCAGTATGATCTCCGCGAAGGCCAACCTTGTTTATATAACGAGTTTCAGGTCAACCAGGATCACGTAGACCCAGTCTGAACAAACGGAAACAAAGGGGTGTCCGGGGAGGAGAGCCGGAAAAAGAAACAACAAAAACCAAGTGGCAAGCCGGAGTGGTGGCACGCGCCGGTAACCAGGAACACAGTGGGACTTTCAAAAGTAAACATGAAGAGACCAAAAGCAAGATATTTAACGCTGGCCTCTAGCTTTGAAGTGGCGAGGGGAGTAGACTTGCGATCCCTCATTTCTAAAATGATCCTACAAATCCTGAGATTCTGGAATTCTACAGCCGAGAGGGCAAGGCAGCCCGGTTGCACGAGTTAACTTCCGGTGGACGAATGCAAGTGCCAAGTTTAACATTTCTTTTAAATACATTATGTCATTTAGATGCCATGACAGTCCTGTGAAGAAACGAAGCTCTGCCCGTTGAGCGACCCGTCTGGAACTCACAGCGTAGCTCTGGAAAACGGACTGGCAGAATTAGCAGTCCCCACGGCCCAGACTGCAGCCGGGCGGGCGGAGGAAGGGGCGGGCTCGCGCATGCACAGTGTGTCGCTGGCGCCGGCGAGGGCTTTCCTCCGAGCCAGCAGCCTCAGTTCAGTACGGTGGCCGGCGGGAGCCAGACGCTGGGGAAGAATGAAGGTGCGGGTTGCAGGGTGAATAGTCTGTCCCGGTTGTCCCTCTCATCAGGCTGCTTCTGCTTCTCCCGTTGTCCCCTTTCTGCCCCCGTCTTGTCGACGACCCGGGTGGTCCCAGCGTCCGAGTTCTTGGTACCCGAATCGACTCGGGGCACGGCTGGGGTTGGGGATCCGGATAATCGCCTAGGCCCAACCTCGGACCGCGATCTCGATTTCTGCCTCGTCCTGCGCTCGGACGCGGAATCCGAGTGGGCCCGGTGAGGCTGGAGGGTAGATCCTAAGGTATGAAGCGCCCGCTTCTCAGGCCTCTTTGCAGCCGCCTGCTGTCTGAGCGCAGACCGGGGCACACAGGGCTGGGCACCTCTGCCCCATCTGCCCACTCTGCTGTTAAGGACCAGCGCTTCCTATTGAGAACAGGGCACATTTCTGTCCCCGACTGCCCGCAGCTCCGCTAGTGAGTTGGTTTTAAGAGGGGATAACCCTTGCTGCCTGTTCGTGGTCATCGCCCCCCCCCTCCCCTTTTTCTGACTCTAATTACTCAAGACCGACCTGTACCCAAGTGAGACCCTCCCTCTCTCAGTTGATTGTGTCTGCACATCTGCCTTTTACCCTGTAACATAGGGGACACAGGATACCGTCGTGGCTTTCAGAGTCTTGACTCTGATACTACTTTTGGCCAGTGAGATGATTTATCAGTTTCCATCTAGGTTGGAGGTGGGAAGAGAAGCTCCACAGTTCTTTAAGTGTGTCTGAAAGCTTGCAAATCTAAAGAGCTCTGGCTGTGACTGTTCAGCTACTCTTATTTCATGGACTTCATTGGACTGGTAGAAGGAGGAAAGCCTTGAGCTGGTATTAGAAGGCTTCAGTCTGGAGTTTTTTCCGCTAAGTACTAATATTGTGGTTACTTAATTCTCTGAACCTCATACTGTAAAACAGTAGTATTAGAGCCAGAGATTCCCAAGTTTGGAAGAGACATTAATTTGCAGTTTTCTTTTTCATATTCTATATGTCAGTAGAAACAGGGAGACAGAGAACCTGGTCTTTAATTGTACAAGGAACATTGTCAATATAATATCCAACACACTTTTCAGGTATTTATTTATTTATTATTTTTATTTTGTTTTAGCTTTTTGAGGCAGGGTTTCCCGGTAGCCCCAGATGGCCTGGAACTGACTATGTAGACCAGGCTGGCCTTGAACTCACAAGAGATCTGCCTGCCTCTGCCTCCTGAGAGCTGGGATTAAAAAGAAAAGAAAACTGTTCATACATGTGGACATTATGTGTCGACTTTCATTTTGTTGTTTTTAACTCAGGACCAAGAGTGACGATGACTGAGTGTACAAGCCTTCAGTTTGTCAGCCCTTTTGCTTTTGAAGCAATGCAAAAGGTGGATGTTGTTCGCCTGGCGTCTTTAAGTGATCCAGAATTAAGACTTCTCTTGCCCTGCTTGGTGAGGATGGCACTTTGTGCTCCTGCTGACCAGAGCCAAAGTTGGGCTCAGGATAAAAAGCTTATCCTTCGCCTTCTGTCTGGTGTGGAAGCTGTCAACTCCATTGTCGCATTATTGTCTGTGGACTTCCATGCTTTAGAACAAGATGCCAGCAAAGAACAGCAGCTTAGGTAATGTTATGTCCTTTGTAAGTTCGGATTTATTTGGGTTCCAAAGCAGGAAATCACATGTTCTTCTTCAGAGCTTTCAGAGCATCTCTAAAAAAGAGAAGATGAAACTTTAAATTTTGGAAAGCATTTTTCTTAGGTCTTTTCTGTCTATAGTTAAAATTCTAAGTGCTTCTATGTCACCAGATGTTGCATTGAAAAGATTAGGCACGTGATGCTGTATTTAGATCTTTTACTCTTAGTGAAGTGTGAATAGGATAACTTTCCCTAGGTTAGAAGGATTTATTGGAATCACTAGGGAGCTTTTTAAGGTTATATTGATTCCCAGAGATTCTGGGCTGCCCATTGTGCATCTATAAGTAAGCTGCTGTTGTTATAGCAGTGAATTTAGCTATTAGTTTACATAGTTTTTGAAGTCTTGAAATGCATAGGCAGACGAAACAGGATTTCAGAAGTACCGTAAAACATTTAGAATGTATAGTTCTTTCGTAGATTATTTCAGTAACAGGTATCTATTGCCATGTCAGTGTTATAACTGTGATTTTCCATGTTTGTACCTCATCAGGCATAAACTTGGTGGAGGTAGTGGAGAGAGCATCCTGGTATCACAGCTTCAGCATGGACTGACACTAGAATTTGAACACAGTGATTCACCTCGTCGATTGCGGCTTGTACTTAGTGAACTGTTGGCAATTATGAACAAGGTGCTTTTAAAGAATAATCCACAGCCCAAAGTATTTGTGATGTGATATCTACATCTAGAAAGTAGATTAAAATATATGCAAGAAGCCTGGTGTGGTGGCGCATGCCTTTGATCCCAGCACTCGGGAGGTAGAGGCAGGCGGATCTCTGTGAATTCAAGACCAGCTTGGTCTACATAGCGAGTTTCAGGCTAGCTATGGCTACAGGGAGACCCTGACTCAAAACGACCAAAGAAAAAAAAAAAAGAAAAAGAAAAAAAAAAGGCACATGCCTTTAATCCCAGCACTAGGGAGGCAGAGGCATATTGATCTCTATGAGTTTGAGGCCAGTCTGGTCTAATAGTTGAGTTTCAGACCAACTGGAGCTGCAGGAAGACCCAGTCTCAAAAATGAAAACAAAAATCCCAAATTAAAAAAAAATTTTTCTCAATTTTGTATAAATTACTGAGTTGGTAATGCCTGTTTGTTTTGTTTTATGATAGGAAATAATTTCTCCCATAAAAGATAGTAAAGTATAATTTAAAAATGTGTTCAAGGGGGTTGGAGAGATGGCTCAGTGGTTAATAGTACTGGCTACTCTTGCAAAGGATCTGAGTTCAATTCCCAGCATCCACATGGGGACTAAAAACCGGCAGTAACACCTTCTTCTGATCTCCATGGGCATTACATGTAATGACATGGGTGCATGTACATACATCAGGCAATACACTTCATACACATAAAATAAAAAATAAGTAAAACATTAAAAAGATAAAAAAGGTGTTCAATTCATTTCATTTAGATACTGTATGAGCATTAAATACCTCATATGACATTGAGTAAGGAATACCTAAGCTGAAGTGGATATAGGGTGATTGATTAGTTTGCCTCATTCATTAGATGACTCAGTTATCCCTAATGGAGACTATTCAAACTTCTCTCTGGACTAGAGAGCAGACTCAGAAGGTAAAGTACTTGCTGAGCACATGCGAAGACTTGCAATTGAATTCCTAGAATCTGTATAGAGTTATGTGAGATGACACATGCCTGCAATCCCAGTGCCATTATGGTGAGATGGGAGGCAGAGACAAGAATCCCTGGAAGTTGGACGACCAGCTAGCCTGGCTTACACATTAGCAAACAACAGAGAGAGACCCTGTCTCAAACAGGATAGAAATTGAGGACCAATCCTGAAGGCTGTCCTCTCACCTCCACACATGTACCATAATACTCACATGAATGTACACACACACAGTTCTCTGCAGTATTATAGATTAAGTCATGTACCTTTGGCTAATTATGGTTAATTGAAACTTCCACTCTACATATCTTTAATTTCAAATCTTTTTGTAAATACTTGATGGCTATGATATAATGAGTGACCTTTTCCCTCTGTGAGGTTTCTAATTTTCAGTATGACATTTTTTAAAAAATTTATTTTTATTTCATGTGTATGCGTGTATTGCCTGCATGTAGGTAAGTGCACCCGTGTCGAGCAATGCCCATGGAGGTCAGAAGAGTCTGTCGGATCCCCTGGGACTGGAGTTACAGAGAGTTGTTAGCTGCCATGTGGGTGCTGGGATTCAAACCCGGGTCTTCTCCAAGAACAGCCAGTGTCCTTAACTGCTGAGCCATTTCTCCAGCCCCGCAGTATGACATTTTTTATCATGTGGGAAATATGGTGAATAAAATTGCTGCAGGAAATTTAAAAACTTGTTTACTTTTCTTAATCTAACTTTTTTTTTCCATTGTCTTTCTCTCTTTTTTTTCTTTTTGTTTTGCTTTTGAGACAAGTTTTTTGTTTAGCCTAGGATGGCATCAAACTCGTAGTCTTCCTACTTTAGCCTTCTAAATGCCGGGCTCGCCAGCATGTATCACTATACCTGGCTCAAAGTTAAAATTCCTTATATTTGTTTTGTTTTTCTCCACTGGTCATTTAGAACTAAATGAATTTACATTAGTTATATTGCTTTAAGTTTACAATTTTGTTTTAAATCTTTTTTTTTTTTTTTGGTCTTTTTGAGACATGGTCTCCTTGTAGCCCCAGCTGTCCTGGAACTCACTATGTAGCCCAGGCTGGCCTTGAACTCACAGAGCTCTGCCTGCCTCTGCCTCCCGAGTGCTGGGACTAAAGGCATGCTCCACCACGCCCGGCTCTGTTTAAAATTTTTTAAATTTAATTTTGTTATTTTTTTTGGTTGTGTGTGTGTTGCACATGTAGGCATACATGTGTGGAAGTCAGGTCAACTTTTGGTAGTCTGTTCTCTCCTTCCACTGTGGGTTCTGGTGATTGAACTCAGGTCAAGTACTTTTACCTATTCAGCCATCTTGAACTACAATTTTGGGCTTTTCAAAGCAACAGCTTGTCTGGATGATACTCCTACATTGCTTCTTTGGCTTGACTTATCCTTTGATTCTGAACTCACACTAGTTCAACCTGTCTCACACTAGTTGCCAAGGTGGCCTTATCACTTGTGATTCTCCTACCTCAGCCCTCCAAATGCTGGGCTTGTTGGCATCAGCCACCACGCAGTACTTGAGACTAATGCTACTGTGTTTGAATAATAATCATGGCTACTCTGGTTGAAATTGATAGGGTACCACATATTCTGCTGCAGTGTGTTAGTGGCATTAACAGTGATGATCTGGGCCAGGTGTGGTGGCGCATACCTTTAATCCTAGCTCTGGGGAGGCAGAGGCAGGCAGATCTCTGTGAGTTCAAGGCCAGCCTGGTCTGCATAGTGAGTTCCAGGCCACCTGGGGCTACAGGGAGACCTGTCTCAAAAAGACCAAAAAATAAAAAATAAAAAGTGATAATCTGTGAATTTAGCAAACAATTGGAAAAATACTAAGGGATTTAATTAGTTACTTAAAATTAATAGAGCTTGCTCCTTTCCTTTTTCTCTGAAAGGTATCTGAATCCAGTGGAGAATTTTTTTTCAAGTCTTCTGAGCTCTTTGAAAGTCCAGTGTATTTGGAGGAAGCTGCAGATGTACTTTGCATTTTACAAGCAGGTACTTTATTTACTGGGTGCTGAGATGCATTTTAGATAGTTTCCTGTGAAATGATACTGTGTGACTCCTTATCCTGGAATGTAGGTATTTTAAAGATTATCTAAATTAGGTGAGGTAGACTGAGACTGGATTGTGATGAAATCCAGGCCAGCCTGGGCTACAGAGTAAGACCTTGTTTTAAGTAACACACACACACACACACACACACACACACGCGCACGCGCACACGATGTTCACCTGCTCATGCACAAAAAAGATCATCTAATCAAAATGTGTCTTGAAGATTTAAATTAAAAATGACTGGTATTAAAACAAAGATTGTCAGGCGTGGTGGTGCACGCCTTTAGTCCCAGCACTCGGGAGGCAGAGGCAGGCGGATCCTCTGTGAGTTCGAAGCCAGCCTGGTCTCCAGAGTGAGTTCCAGGTACCTGGAGCTACAGGGAGACCCTGTCTTAAAAAAAAAAAAAAAGACCAAAAAAACCCCCAAAGATTAAGTGACTTACACTATTTGTATAGTAGTCTATATTGTTTATACATTAACACTGTATATTTGAGTTAATGATTTATTGCTTTAATAGTTTTATATACTGTCCATAATATGTTGAATCAAAAAGCAAAGGGCAATCTCAGTTTTACTTAAAGCAAAAACAGTACCAGTGAGGGGATTAAAACAAGATATTTAATATATTTACTATTGTTACTTTTGGATAATAGGAATAGAACTAATTCTGTGTAATAGGTAAATATGATAGAAAAGAAACAAGAGGGTATAGAAATTTAAATAGGATTTTTATGAAAATAACTTAAGCTGGGAGTGGTGGTTCACACCTTTAATTTCAGCACTTGGGAGGCAGAGGCAGGTGGATCTCTGTGAGTTCAAGACCAGCCTGGTCTACATAGAGAGTTCCATGCCAGCTGGGACTACAGGGAGACCCTGTTCCCCCCCCCCCAAAAAAAGAAAAAAAGAATAGAAAGGAAAAAAGAAAACTTCTTGGAACAGTACTATTTAATAAAATGTTCTGCAGTGCTCTGTGTTGTCCTGTTAGTAGTTTTTATTATTTTTATTTTATGTGTATGAGTGTACTGCCTGCATGCATGTAAGTGTACCTGTGTCATGCAATGCCATGGAGGTCAGAAGAAGGCCTCGGATTTCCCTGGAACTGGTGGTAAGGACGGTTCATAGCCGCCATGTGGGTTCTGGAAATCGAACCCAGGTCCTCAGCAAGAGCAGTCAGTGCTCCCAACTGCTGAGCCATCTCTCCAGTCCTGGACCTGAACTCTTTTCAGTTTCATTTAATTTAATTATTTACATGAGACTGAAGGTGATCCTACTGAATAGCTCAGCTCTGGACTATGGAAAGAAAGTACTTTCATTGAGTTGCATTTTGGCAACATCTTTGAAATGTCAATCTGTTCAATATATAACACAATAAATTATCATGCTTTAATAGTGACAGTGACTTTTCTTTTTCCTACAGAACTCCCTTCCTTGCTTCCTATAGTGGATGTAGCTGAAGCCTTGCTACATGTTAAAAATGGTGCCTGGTTCTTGTGTCTTTTGGTAGCCAATGTTCCTGATAGTTTTAATGAAGGTAAATATGATTTTAAAAAGAGACCTCGGGGGTTGGAGAGATGGCTTAGTGATTAAAAGCAGGTACTGCTCCTGCAGAGGACCTGAGTTCAATTCCCACCACCTGGTTCAGGTAGCTCACAACTGCCTGTACCTCCAGTTTGTAATGTCAGGGCACTGGTACACAGATCACACACATACACATAATTAAAAATAATAAAATAAGTCTGGCCCAGATGTGGTGGTGCACACCTTTAATCCCAGCACTCAGGAAGCAGAGACAAGTAGCCTAATGTGGATTTGATCCCTAAGATCTGCATCACATGGTAGAAGGAAAGAACTGACTCCTGCGGGTTCTACACAGGTGTGTTGTGATGTGTTGGCATATGTTCGTAGATAGACACACACACATACACTCTAGATATAATAAAAAGTAAAAAATTTCTTTGTTAAGAAGACATATTCATGGGATTTTATTTCAGATTTTATCATCTGAATGTTTATTAGTAGGTACTAATTATAGAAATATTATGCTTAGAGATTTCAGAATTTAAATACTGAGTATATACCACCATCACACCTGGGCTTTGTGAATTTAAGGCTAGCCTGGGCATCTTAGTGAGACCCTTTCTCAAAATGAAAAAGTAAAAAGGAGGCTGGGATATAGCTCAGTGTCAGCACCAGCATGAGGCATTGTGTTCAATCTGCAGTACTAGAAAAAGAGAAAATAAAACTAAGATATTTGTTTATTTTTGAGATAGGGTTTGTTTGTGTGTTTGCTTTTTGGTCTTTTTGAGACTGGGTCTCCCTATAGCCCCAGTTGGCCTGGAACTCCCTATGTAGACCAGGCTGGCCTCGAACTCAGAGATCTGCCTGCCTTTGCCTTCCAAGTGCTAGGATCAAAGGCGTGCGCCACCATGCCCGGTGGTTTGTTTGTTTGCTCAGTGGTTTGTTTGTTTGTTTTTAAAGTTATTGAGAATTTCATACATGCATATAAGGTGTTTTGATCAAATTCATGCCCACTCCCTCCTCTCCAACTCCTCCCATATCTCCCCATCACTTTTTTCTGATAATTTCATGTACCCTCCCCCCTCCCCCCTCCCTCCCTTCCTTCTTCTTTCTTTTATGGGGCTTTTTGCTACTCCAACATTACCGCCTCTAAAGAGATAACCCTAAAATCTTTTAGGGATTAGGTAAAAGCTCCCAAATACTTTTGACATTTTTGGTCTTTGGAACAGAGTATGTTGCTAAGAGGCCCAAGGACATTTTGACTTTTAGCCAAGAAACTGGCTACTTTTCTTTGCGGTCTTTTTACCCTAACTGCCTAGCCAATTCCTGCCTTCTATTCTTATCACACCATCCTCTGAAGAGGTTACCCAACTTGCAGATAGGGAATCGGGACGCAGACCGCTCTGGCTTCTTCCATGCTGAACAGGGATGCAGGATGAGGCAATTGGGGTACCCTTTCAGTGTATCTATCTAAAAGACTCCAAGATTGCATAGCTCTTACCTGTACGAAGAAAAGAAAGTCCTTGACTGGTGAATAGGAGATATGAAAGAGAAGTAAAGGCAAGAGTGGTTAGCATTACAAGCTCTAGACGGAACCAGAAAAAAGTCAGAACAGGGAAAATTTCAAATGTTCGTATGAGAGTCCATTGGAATTTCTTGACGAGAGCTTCGAAAAGCATCCCTCTATTGGGTTCCTCCTCATTTTTCTTTTGTCTGCCAAGGCTAGACTCGAGAGTGATGGATTCAGGATTTGCTTTCAGGTGCTTTGATAGCTGTTGGAGTGGCTAGAATTGGTGTCAGTTCCCTCACAAAGGCTTCTAGATAGGGGGAGAAAACAAATTTAGCTATCATTTTAAAACGATAGTGGGTTGTGTCCATTAGCTACAGGTGGGCACTACAGTATTGCAGACCAGGGTGTGAAGTCTTACATCTGAGCAGCACTTTCTGCCTAGAAAAAAATCATCGCCTAATGTCTGGGAAGTGTAATCCCTTGAACTCTTAAAAAATATACTGATCATTTTACTCTTTGTTATACTTTCCTTTTGGGTGTTTAAGCCCATATAGTTGGCCCAAATAAACCAATTTATTTTTACTCTTAAGGTCGTTTGAGGATCTGTTCCTCAGCAGTCACATGGGTTGTTAGGTCTGTCATGTTGTTTTCTATTGCTTTAATTTTTCTTCTTTTGTACCATTTTTATCATAGACTTAATTCTACAGACATTTTTTTTTTTTCTTTTTTGGTCTTTTTGAGACAGGGTCTTTGTGCAACCCCAGCTGTCCTGGATCTCACTATGTAGAACAGGTTGGCCTCCATCTCATAGAGATTCACCTGCCTCTATCTCCCAGGTTCTGGGATTAAAAGCTGGTGCCATCATGCCTGGCCTTAGAGTATATTCTTTGTCTTTTGAGATAAGGATTCAGCTGGCTTGGAACTAGTTAATGTATACCAGTCTGGCCTTGAACTCACGGAGCTCCGCCTGCCTCTGCCTCCCAAGTGCTGGGATTAGAGGTGTGCACCACCACCTAGCTTAAAGTACGTACTTAATGTTCTTATTTTAAATGTTATTTCTTTTAAAAAAAAATTTCTTTTTGAGATAGGGTCTCATTCATGTAGCCCTGACTTGAACTTTCAGTAATCTTACTGCTTCTGGGATTACAATGTTAGGATTACTGTTGTGGACTACCATGCCAGTTGGTTGTATTTTTTTTTTTAATATTTTATTATTTTTAATTTATGTGTATGAGTGTATTTCCTGCATGTGTGTAAGTGCACCCATGTTGTGCAATGCTCTCGAAGGTCAGAAGAAGGTGTCAGATTCCCCCAGAACTGGAGTTACGAATGGTTGTTAGCCACCATGTGGGTGCTTGGAATCGAACCTGGGTCCTCTACAAGAGCAGTCAGTGCTCCTAACTGCTGAGCCATCTCTCCAGCCCCCAGCTGGTTGTATTCTAAAGACTTTTTAAAACGTGGGGTAAAGCCTTTAGCCACACTGTTACCATTTTTGGTGCTCTTCATTTCTTGTTATAGATCTACATTTCCATCTGGTGTAATTTTCCCTTCACTTGAATAACTGCTTTCATTTCTTGTAGTGCAGATTTTAAAAAATATTTTATTTATTTTTTTTGTGTATGAGTGCATTGCCTACACATGTATAAATGCACCCATGTTGTGCAGTGCCCTCAGAGGTCAGAAGAAGGCGTTGGATCCCCTGGAACTAGAATTACGGATGGTTGTTAGTCATCATGTGGGTGCTGGGAATCGAACCTGGGTCCTCTGCAAGAGCAGTCAGTGCTCGTAAACACTGAGCCATCTTTCCAGCCCCATAATGTAGATTTTTAACATTTCTTTTTTATTTTTGTTTTGTACATGTGTGTTTCACACTGAACCCAGAGGTACTTGCCAATGAGCTATCCTTCCAGCCTTGAAGGGCAAGTTTCTTGGCAACAAATTTTCCTAGATTTTTGGTCAGTAAAAACCCGTTTTGCTTTTATTTTGTTTTTATCTAGGACTATGGATTGAACAGTGGCACTCTGCCACTGAGCTACATCCCAGCCTTCTTTTTACTTTTTTATTTTGAGATAGGGTCTCACTAAGATGTCTAGGGTTAGCCTTGAATTCACTTTGTAGCTCAAGCAAGCTTTCAACTTGTGATCCTTCTGCCTCAGACTCTAGAGTAAGTGAATTTACGAAGTTATAGGCCTGTGCCACTAGGCTGGCCTATATTTGTCTCCTTTTCTGTAGTGGTGCTGGGAATTGAATTCAGAGGATCATATATACCAGTCACTGAGCTGCAGCCCCAGCTTTTATTTTTATTAATATTTTTCTAATTTTTAATTTTTTTTTTTACAGCGGATCATTATTTAGCTTAGGTTTCTGTTGCTATACTATCAAATTTCTGATGTTTTCCTTGTATAATGTATAAGCTACATAAATAATTGATTTTAAGGGATGAAAAATATGGTTTATAACACTTTACTTACAAAGCTTAAAGTAATAGAGGCTTTTAAATACTAGTTTGCAGGGGTCTGATCAAAAATGGAGAACGGCAAGATGAAGAGAGTCTTGGAGGAAGGCGGAGGACAGATGCCTTACGCTTCCTATGCAAAATGAATCCTTCTCAGGCCCTAAAGGTCCGAGGCATGGTGGTAAGAGATCCTGTTGTTTCTGTGTGACAATACTTTATAACAGGAGTGAATACTGTCTCAAGATGGTTTCAGAGTCTTGTAGAAATAGAATTTTAATACTGAATATGCTACCTTCCTTTCTGGATTTTATGTTTTGTGAGATCTCTTCCTTACTGTATGGAGTTTAACTAGCTTTCTCTGCTATGTTAGGTGGAAGAATGTCATTTGCCGGGCCTTGGAGTAGCTTTGACATTGGATCATACTAAAACCGAATCTTGTGAAGATGGAGTGAGTGACTTGGTTTGCTTTGTTAGTGGCTTGCTTCTTGGAACAAATGCAAAAGTCCGGACTTGGTTTGGAACCTTTATTCGAAATGGACAGCAGGTGAGAGTTAAGTATCTGTGTAGGCCAAGGATCATTACTTAGGAGGAATAACTAAGAGTTAAGAAACACCTGTGGGAGCTGGACGTGGTAGCACATGCCTTTAATCCCAGCACTTGGGAGGCAGAGGCAGGAGGATCTCTGTGAATTCGAGGCCAGCCTGGTCTACATAGCAAGTTCCAGGCCAGCTGGGACTACAGGGAGACCCTCTTTCAAAAAAAAAAAAAAAAACCAAACAAACTTTGGAAAGGTGTCTTTAGGTAGGCCTGGTCACTCACACTTGCACTGGAAGACTGAGGCAAGAGGATTGCTGTGAGTTTTAGTCAGCCTGGACTATACAGTTAGATCCTGTCTCAAAAACTATGGGGGAAAAAAGGGAAATAAGAAAAAGAAAAGTACTGCTCTGTTGGTGTTCACCTTTATTCCCAGCACTTGGGAGGCTGAGGCAGGCAGATCTCTGTGAGATTGAGGCCAGCCTGGTCAACATAGTGAGTTCATGGGTTCAGGGAGACTCTGTCTCAGAAAAACAAAAAAGAAAAAAAAAATGGTGGAGAGCAATAGAACAAGGAGAATATACCCAACCTGGACCTCTGGTCTCTACATATGTGTAGCTTACAGCCTGTGGGCACAGGTGTGTATACATACACTACACTCACACATACACAAAGAAAAAAAAGAAGGTTCACAATATTTGCAACCACAAGCACTATCTTTTTCTAGAACCATGTGTGTGTGTGTGTGTGTGTGTGTGTGTGTGTGTGTGTGTGTGTGTGTGTGAGATCCTGGAGATTGAACTGAACCTAGGGCCTAACGCTTGTTAGGCAAGCACTCTGCCCCTGAGTTATATACCCAGCACTCTAGAGACTCTGCACCCACTAAATTGGCTCTTCCTCCTCTTCCCTGTAAACCCCTGGTAACCACTATTCTGCTTTCTTCTCTATGAATTCTGCATACCAATCTAGGTACCTCTTGTGAGTTGAATCACAGGATATTCATCATTTTGTATGTTTTATTTCCTTAACATTGACTTGAAGGTTCATCCATCTTGCATGTATCAGAAAATCCTTTGCCTGGTGTGATGGTATACACCTTTAATAGCAGCATCCAGTAGCTAGAAGCAGGACTGTGGGGTAGATACTTATCAAGTTCAAGACCAGCTGGGATACATCATAAAACTCCTCCCTCCATAGGAAATATACCCCCCCCAAAGGAATTTCCTTTCAAGGTTGAGTAATATTCCATTATGTGTATGTATACATTTTATTTTTCCATTTACCTGTTGATGAATATAATTTATTTTGTGCTATATAGTATTAAATAATATATTTTATGGTACTAGAATTGAACCCAGGGTCTCTCACATACTAGGTAAACCCTCTCCCACTGAGCTACATTCCTAATACTTTTTTATTTTGTTTGAGGCAGGGCCTTGCTAAGTTGCCCAGGCTGACCTTGAACTTGGGTCCTCCTGTTTCAGCCTCTGGTAGCTGTGATTATTGGTATATACTATCATGCCCAGTTAGTGTGTTACATTTTGCAGCAGGTTTGTTTGTTCTGAGATATGGTCTTGCTTTGTTGCTTAGGCTGTTATGGAACTCTGTATATAGCCCAGGCTTGCCTTAAATTTGAATTTGAGATAATCCTCCTGCATGTTGGGATTAATTATAGGCAAGTGCCACAATATCCAGTGGGTTTTTCTTTTTTCCAGTAGTTTTAGCTTGCAAAATACTTTCATTTTTCCAAAAAAATCTTTTGTAGTGCTTCTGAATAGAATTTGCTAATGTAGATTAATTTTTAATATGTTTTCACCTTTGATTTTTTTTTTTTTTTTTGGAGGCAAGGTCTCTTGATAGCCCCAGTTGACCTGGAACTATGTAGACCAGGCTAGCCTTGATATCACAGAGTTCTGCCTGCCTCTGCCTTTCAATTGCTGGGATTAAAGGCATGTACTACCATGCCTGGCTTCAACTTTGCTTTTATTATTATTATTATTGTTATTATTATTTTACTTTTTTGAGACAGGGTTTTGCCTGTCTCAGCTTTGCATTTTAAAAGGAATGGAAGGGCTGGAGAGTTCAATGAATGGTTAAAACACTTAATGTTCTTCCAGAGGACACAGGTTTGATTCCCACATGGTGGCTAACAACCATTTGTAACTCCAATTCCAGGAGATCTGACATCTTCTGACCTCTGTGGGGCATTGCATACACACAGGAAAACATTCATACATGTAAAATAAAAATAGTAAAATTACTTTTGGGGGATTTTTGAGGCATGGTCTCCCTGTAGCCCCACCTGGTTTGGAACTCACTGTATAGACCAGGCTAGCCTTGAACTCAGAGATCCACCTGCCTCTGCCTCCCAAGTGCTGGGATTAAAAGTGTGAGCCACCACACCCAGCATAAGTAAAATTATTTTAAAGGAAGGAAATGTATGTTCATCATGTGACTTTTATTTGTATGGCTACATGCTAAGCACTTGGTATGTTCATCTTGCTTCTAATAGTCCTTTATGCGCAATAAATTTTTTTTCTTTAAACAATATTATTCAGGCAGGTTCATCATATTTGACTTGGAAACACTTTTTGAAATATTTTTTTAAGATTTATTTTCAATTGTGTATAAGTATGTTTGTGTCTGTGGGTGTGTGCAGGTGCCCATGGGAGCCAGAGACATTAGCTCCCTTGGAGCTGGAGTTAAAGGTGATTATGAGCCACCTGACCTGGATGCTGGAATGCAACCTGGGTCCTCTGTAAAAGTAACAAGTGCTCTTAACCACTGAGCCATCTCTCCAGGTCCAGAAATGTTCTTAAGAATAACAAACACTTAGGTGGGCGTGGTGGTGCATGCCCTTGGTCCTAGGCGGAAGGTAGGGGCTGGTGGATCTCTGTGAGTTCAAGGCCAGCCTGGTCTACATAGTGAGTTCCAGGACAGCTGGGGCTACAGGGAGACCCTGTTTCCAAAAAAAAAAAAAAAAAAGAGTAGCACTTAACATTTGCTTTTCTCTTTATAGTTTAGAACTGCTTTTGTGTTTATGATCTTTCTTTGTTCATTCATTTCTCTATTTAGTAAACATTGAGTGCTTGTTATATGTCCGTACAATGTTAGGCTCTCAAGAGTGAATGATGACTAAAACATCCTTGCCAGAAGAACTGGGTATGAGGTAGTGGTCCTAGACCTACTCACTCTTAATTACAGTAGCTTTAGGTGGTATTTATTATTAATAAAATACTTTCTTATCAATAAAAAAATTGGGATTTGGAGAGGTTTACTAATATACCTTAAAGCACACGATCATCTAATAGCGAGCTAGAATTTAAACCTAAGTTTTTCTGTCTCCAAAGGCTGAATACTTGGTACTATTCTGCTTTATATGTTTGAAAGTATCTTTTTTTTTTTTTTAATTTTTGAGACAAGTTTTTGTTATGTAGTCCTGGCTGTCGTGTAACTTGCTATGTAGACCAGGCTGGTTTCACCTTTGCAGCAATCCTCCAGCCTCTCCTATGTAAGTGATGAGATTGCAGGTGTGTACCACTGAACCAGCTGAAAGTACCATGTAAATATTATCCTACAATTCATATTTTCATTAATTTAGCCTTTCTTCTGCAGTCAGTCGTATTAGGGGTGAGCAGATCAGTAGATTTTTGAGTTTACTTGACTTTACCTGACAGCAGTTTGCCAAGCTCCTCAAGTGGGTCAGTTTCAAGTGTTCTGTTGAGGTGTCTGTTTCAGCTTTTAGTTTAGTAAATGCTCCATGCTGTCTTCCTTTTTTGATTCATATTCCTTACAGAGAAAAAAAGAGACCAGTAGTTCTGTCCTTTGGCAGATGAGAAGGCAGCTTCTTCTGGAATTGATGGGCATTCTTCCCACTGTACGAAGTACGCGCATCGTGGAAGAAGCAGATATGGAGATGGAGCCCAATGTGTCTGTGTACTCAGGGCTGAAGGAAGAGCATGTGGTGAAAGCCAGCGCCCTCTTACGTCTGTACTGTGCCTTGATGGGGATCGCTGGACTCAAGTATTCAATCTGATATTTTACCTTTGTGTCATTTTTTTGTTTGTTTATAATATCAAAGAAGTGAGGCAGAGGCCTTTTGTTATGAGGGTTAATGTTTTTTGTTTTTTTTTTTTTAATGTGCTGGCTTATATCAAGATTGAAAGTGTTAGGTGCATATCTTTATGCCAGCACTTGGGAGGCAGAGGTAGGCGGAGCTCTGTAAATTTGAGGCCAGTCTGGTCTACATAGGAAGTCCTGGTCCAGCTATATAGTGAGATCCTGTCTCAACATGCACCACCCCCTCGCTGCCCCCCAAAAGATTGAAAGTGTTAAGGCCAACAGTTCTAAGGGACTTTTGGATCTGTTTTGGTCATTTGGATTCCATTTGGAGATGGAATTATGCAAATATAGATGGGATGGGATAGTTATTCAGTCACACCATCCTGAGAGGATACTAGTGAATGATCTGTGGATGATCTGCTGCCTAGCTTGTGCTCTAATTGAAGTAAATCCTCTGTTTCCTTTTGCAACTATGATCATAAATTGCTTAAAATTGACAGGTGGTTATTTAACACAAGGTTTCTTAGTTATGTACCATATCCTTTTCAATAATGCCCTCAACTCTTACAGATACACTCCTCTCTTGACTGTCTCCAACACAGGTACATTTCAGTTATGACAGTTTAGTTAAGCAAACACTAGCCCATCAATTTGGCTAAATTTAAGTTGTTACGATATAGTAATGTAGTAATTATATTAAGTACAAACTATGCTGTGAGCTCTTCAGGACTCATGACTACATAAGTAGCACGTACTTATCATAATTAGTGATCTCTGCTATTACTTCCTTTAAAGTCTGTTGGTAATTGAACCCTGTGAATTTGTTATTTGGTTCTTTTTGTTTGTTTGTTTTGCCTTTTTGAGACAGGGTCTCCCTGTAGCCCCAGCTGGCCTGAAACTCACCGGGTAGTCCAGGCTGGCCTCGATCTCACAGAGATCTGCCTGCATTTGCCTCCCAAATACTGGGATTAAAGGTATTCTTCACCATACCCAGCTTTGTCATTTGGTTCTTACACAGACAATAAAATAATTATAGTCTCTATTTTTCAGTGATAAATCCATGTGCCATATTACAAAAATGGATAATTTAAAAGAGAATGACCTTAGTTTGAATCCTCAGAACTCACCTAAAAAAAAAAAAATCTCATGACTGCATGTACCTATAATCTCAGCATTGTGGGGCAGGGATAGGCAGATCTAGGGGCTTGCTGGTTAACAAGCCTAGCCAAATTGGCTAAATTCTAGTTCAGTGAAGCACCTTGTCTCAAAGCAATAAGACAGAGAGCAAAAGAAGAAGACATTCAACATTATGCTCTGGCCTCTGCATGCATGCTCACTGGCATGAGCCATATGCATATGCATATTCTCCCCATATACCACATCCCCGTACACACACACACACACACCCTTAAGGGGAAAGTGCAGTAAAAAGATAAAAAGTGGTAACATGGAAAATGACATTTTAACCAAACAAACGAAATAACTCTGAGAGTCTTGTCATTTTACCAAGGCACATACAGAAAAAAAAGATGCTCAGGGTCGGGGGAGGGGTGTCCTCAGGAAATGACTCAGTTGATAAAATACTAGCTGTGTAGCCAGAGGACCTGAGTTTGTTTCCCAGAACCCATATTAAAAAAACAAAACCAAAAAATGAAAAAGCCAAACACCCCAAAAACTGAGTACCTGTAATCCCAACAGTGGGGAAGTGGAGACAGTAGGATCACTGGGGCTTTCTAGTCAACCAGTCTAGCTGAGTCCACAAGCTCAGTGTCAGCAAAAGACCATCTCTCAAAAATAAGGTTAGAGAGGGCTGGAGAGATGACTCAGTGGTTAAGAACACTTGCTGCTCTTATAGAGGACCCAGTTTACCCAGCACCCACAATGTAGCTCTTAAGTGTCTATAACTTCAGTTCCAGGGAATCTGTGGGCCCTAGGCATACATGTAGTGCACATACATATATACATATGTATGTATGTATGTGTTATTATTATTTTTTTTTGAGACAGGGTCTCCCTGTAGCCCCAGCTGTCCTGGAACTCACTATGTAGACCAGGCTGACCTTGAACTCACAGAGATCCACCAGCCTCTGCTTCCCGAGTGCTGGAATTAATGGTGTGTGCCACCACACCTGGTCATATGTATGTATTGTAACTGACAGAGTTTTTAATGTTTTGACGAAAAAAAGATCACAGTATAGTAATTCTTTGCAGGAGGGGTTCAGATCGCATTGCGTGATTATGTTTATGACCCCATACTCCTGGACAAAGTAAGGACTGCCTGGTTTTGTATCTTAGGAAAAAAACATTTATAGGTTTAATTTCTTTCTTTTTTTTTTTTTTTTTTTTTGGGTTTTTTGAAGACGGGTTCTCTCGGTAGCCCCAGCTGTCCTGGACCTCATTTTGTAGCCCAGGCTGGCTTTGACCTCACAGGGACCCCCCTGCCTCTGCCTCCCGAGTACTGGGACTAAAGGCGTGCGCCACCACGCCTGGCAAGTTTAATTTCTTAAAAGTTTTACTTTTGACAACTTAAGATATTAAAAATTTTATAGTATACTGTATCATAAAGTTTAAAAGTTTGTACTTAGGGAAGGTGTGGATAGGGGAGGGGATCTAAATACCATCAGATTATATTGTATACATATCACAAAAATTTATTAAAAAAGGAAAAAAAATTGTACTTGAAAGATTAAAATACTGAAAAATTAGCTTTTGTTTTCTTCCTGAACAGCAACAAAAAATGTAAAGCCTAATTATGTTTTCCTTTTAGGCCAACTGAAGAAGAAGCTGAACAGTTACTGCAGCTGATGACCAGCCGTCCTCCCGCCACACCAGCTGGGGTTCGCTTTGTTTCGCTTTCCTTCTGTATGCTGCTGGCCTTTTCTACACTTGTCAGGTACCTTTCTATATTGGTTGCCCTATTTTCTCAAATGTGCTTCTATTTACTTATCAAAAGGCATGGATAGAGGCCAGGTGTTTAGCTTAGTATTAGTGTGCTTGCCTAGCATGTGCACTGCCACTAAAAATGGTATGCAACATAGTAAAAGTTTACTGCAAAAAGTGTCCTATGTAGCTGGGTGTGGTTGTGCATGCCTTTATTCCCAGCACTCAGGAGGTAGAGGTAGGAGGATCTCTCTGAGTTCAAGGCCAGCTTGGTCTATATAACAAGTTCTAGGCCAGCTGGGGCTACAGGGACAACCTGTCTCAAAAAGACCAAAAAAAAAAAAAAGTGTCTTAGTTATGGGCTGTCATAGTATCTTTTAATTAAAGGATATCAGCATCTACTGAATATTAGCCATTTTATTCATCTTTATCATAGTTTCTTATTAACATTGTTTAAAGGGATCAAATCTTTCATGATTTTTTTTATGGCTAATCGAAGTTCTTTCTATTTTTTTTTTTTCCTTCCTTAGAGGTATTATTTTTCAGTTCTCTAGTTATTTTGGGTTTTACTACCACAATGTTTTTAAGTTTGTTTGTTTGTTTATTTATTTATTTATTTATTTATGTATTTATTTATGTATTTATTTGTGTTTAGTTCCTTCAAGGGGTGCATGTCTATGTGTGTGCACACTATGACATGTGTGGAGGTCAGAGGATAACTTGTAGGAGTTGGTTCTCTTCTTCTACCACATGGGTTTCAGGGATTAAACAGGTTGTCAGGTTTAGTGGCAAGCACCTTTACCCGCTGAGCCATCTCACTGACCCCACTGCTACATTGTTGGTAACACTTAATTTTATTTTATTTTTTAAATTTTATGTGTATGAATGTGTATGTGAGTGCACCTGTGTTGTGTAATGCCGCGGAAGTCAGAAGAGGGCGTCAGATTCCTCTGGAACTGGAGTCAAGGATGGTTCATAGCTACCGTGTGGGTGCTGGGAATCGAACCCAGGTCCTCTGCAATAGCACTCAGTGCTCTTAACCGCCTAGCCATCTCTCCAGCCCCAACATTTTTCTTTTAGGTATTAACTTGACTTCCCACTATCAAAAATAGTTCTCTTTTTCCCTCTGTGTCCAAAAACACATATCTGTATATCCATCCTTCCTCCCATTGTCTTCGTACGGTTAATAATTTTGATTTGATAAATCTAGTTGTGTATATTATGATTATGTCTGCATCACGGGGAACGCAACCAGGACTAGATGATTACGTTTTTTTTTTTTTGCCAGTTGGCCTAGAACTTGCTATGTAGACCAGGCTAGCCTTAGTCTCACAGAGATCTACCTGCCTCTGCCTCCTGGGTGCTGGGATTAAAGGCATATGCCATCATACCTGGCTCTTACTTTTTCTCTTTTTTAAAAAAAATTTTATTTTTATTTTTTATGTGTATGAGTATATTGAGTGTATTGCCTGCGTGTATGTAAATGCACCCATGTCATGCAGTGGCCAAGGAGGTCAGAAGAGGTTGTCTGATCCCCTGGAACTGGAGTTACGTACAGTTGTTAGCCTCCATGTAGTTGCTGGGAATTGAACCTGGGTCCTCTGCAAGAACAGTCAGTGCTCTTAACTGCTCAGCCATTTCTCTAGCCCCCCATTTTTTTGCAGGGGGGAGTCTTTTTGAGACAGGGTCTCCCTGTAGCCCCAGCTGTGCTGGAACTCACTATGTAGACCAGGCTGGCCTTGAACTCACAGAGATCTGCCTGCCTCTGCCTCCTGAGTGCTCGGATTAAAGGCGTGCACCACCATGCCCAGGCCCTTTTCTTTCTTTTAAAACAGTTTTGTTTTACATTTGCTTGGTGCTCTATGTAACATTAATACAAACTCAAACTCAGCAAAACTAAATTTAGGAGACTGAGGCAGGAGGCTTGCCATGAGTTTGAAGCTAGCCTAAGTTACATAATGAGCATGCGCTGATTCATTAGTCTATTAATTTAGTCTTTCTCAGAAATCTTGTCTAGAACGGTTTTGTCTGCTCTAGTCTTGACTGTACCTGGTGTTCTGCAGCTGTGCACAGGAATTGTTCTTCATCACTATTTTGGGGACTCGCTTCTCTCTGTAAGATTTACTGTTTCTGGTATTTCGTCTTATTTGCTTCCTCCTTTGTTTCTTTTGAAAGCCAGCAGGTGGGAGGTAAATTCTTCAGAGCAGGGGGTGGATTTCTGAAAACACCTTCATTCTACTCTGACATTTGATTAGTAGTTTGAATTCTAAGCAAGGAATAATTTCCTTTGAGTTTAAAAAAATTTTTTTTGTTTCAGTCTTTTTGAGACAGGGTCTCCCTGTAGCCCCAGCTGACCTGGAACTCACTATGTAGACCAGGCTGGCCTTGAACTCAGAGAGATCCGCCTGCCTCTGCTTCCCAAATGCTGGGATTAAAGGCAGTGGCATTTTTTTTAATTTTTAAATTTTTTTAATTAAAAATTTTTTTGAGACAGGGTCTCTTGTAGCCCCAGCTGGCCTGGAACTCACTATGTAGACCAGGCTAGCCTCAATCTCACAGAAATCTGCCTGCCTCTACCTTTGCTTCTAGAGAGTTAGAATTAAAGCCATGCTGGAGAGATGGCTCAGCCATTAAGAGCACTGTTTTTGCAACAGACCTGGGTTTGGCTCCCAGTACCCATGTGGCAGCTAACAATCATTTCTAACTCCAGTTCTAGGGGATCCAACATCCTCTTTTGCTCTCATGGGCATTGTGTGCGTGGGTACAATTACATAAATATAAGTAAAATACTCATACACATGAAGTAAAAATAAATGAATAAAAACAATTTTTAAAAGTGTTTTAAAATGTTTAAAAATATTTTATTCATTTATTTTATGTGTATTAGTATTGTGTATGCATGTACGTTAACTGCACCTGTGTTGTGCAGTGCCCTCAGAGGTCAGAAGAGGGCTTTGGATCCTCTGGAACTGGAGTTATAGACAGTTGTTAGCTGCCATGTGGGTGCTAGGAGTCAAAATGGGTCCTCTGTAAGAGCACTGACTGCTCTTAACTGCTGAGCCATCTCTCCAACACCAAATGTATTACCTTTTAATTAACTAGTTAATTGTGTATGTATAGTATAAGTGTGTATGGGGGGGCATCCTTGCATGCCACGTCACGCATGTAGAGGTCAAGAGAGTAACACAAAATAAATAAACAGAAAAAAATTAAGAAGTTATTACCATTATTGTATTTTACAACTTTTAAATACGATGAACCCATGTTGCTTTTATTTATTTTTTATTTTGTGTCTTTTTGAGACAGGGTCTCCTTGTAGCCCCAGCTGTCCTGGAACTCACTATGTAGACCAGGCTGGCTCCGATCTCACAAAGATCCGCCTGCTTCTGCCTCCCAAGTGCTGGAATTAAAGGCTTGTGCCACCATGCCTGGCAGTCGCTTTTAATTTTGATGATTACTAATCATTTCTTTCTCTAAAATTTGAATTTTATCCAAAAGATGTTCACAAATTGAATTTGAAGTAAAAGATGCACTAATTTATTACTTTTTAGTACTTGGTCTTTGAAATTAAAAGAATATTTTTTTTTCCTTTATTTATATTTTATGTGTATGAGTATTTTGCCTGTATGGATGTAAGTGTATCTGTGTCATGTAGTGCCCATGGAGACCAGAAGAGGGTGTCAGATCCCCTGAACTGGAGTTATAGATGGCTTTTAGTCACCATATGGGTGCTGGGAACTGAATCCAGATCTTCTCCAAGAGTAGCCAGTGCTCTTAACTTCTGAGAAATTTCTTTAGCCCTGGTTTTTAAAGTTTTAACATTAGGGTTTTTTGGTCTTTTTGAGACAGGGTCTCCCTGTAGCCCCAGCTGGCCTGGAACTCTCTATGTAGACCAGGTTGCCCTTGAACTCACAGAGATCCCTCTGCCTCTGCTGGGATCAAAGGCATGTGCCACCGCACCTGGCCTGGTTTTTTTTTTTTTTTAGCAGCATGAAATAACTGATCAGCTCTTAATAGTTCTTTGAACATTTTAATCCCAGAAAGCCTTTGGTTGGAAATTCACCTTCTCCAACTTGCAAATATAGATTTTAAGACTTTAGGAGAGTCTGACAGTTCAGATTCATGAAGCCATCCTGAACTCTGGAGCTGTTTCATATCACAGTTATAATTAATGACCCAATTCAACAAACCATTAATTTGAGTTGATATTTCAAAATTGAGAAGGAAAAAAAACTCCGATCAAAAATAATTACAGAATCTGGGTGTGGTGGCACATGCCTTTAATCCCAGCACTGAGACTAGCCTGGTCTACAGAGCAGTTCCAGGCCAGCTGGAGCTGCTGGGAGGCTCAAAAAGACAAAAAAAAAAACCCAAAAAAAATTACAGAATATTTTTCTTTCTTTTTTTCAATTCTCCAGTTGTTCCAAGGTCTTTATTCAGAATTTAGTCCAACTTCCAACATTAAACTTAGTTATCATATATCTTTTTTTTTTTTAACTTTTACCAAAACTTTATTGAGAATTTCATACGTGCATATAAGGTGTTTTGATCAAATCCATGCCCACTCCCTCCCCTCCAACATTCCCCCCTCTAAAGAGGTAACCCTAAAATCTTTTAAGGATTAGATACAAGCTCCCAAGTACTTTTGACTTTTTGACATTTTTGGCCTTTGGAACAGAGTGTATTGCTAACAGGTCCAAGGACATTTTGACTTTTAGCCCAGAAACTGGCTGTTTCGTTGGGGTCTTTTTACCCTAACTGCCTAGACAATTCCTACGTCCCATTCTTATCACACCATCCTCTGAAGGGGTTACCCAAATTGCCAATAGGGAATAGGGACGCCAACCGCTCTGGCTTCTTCCATGCTGAACAGGGATGCAGGGTGAGGCAATTGGAGTACCCCTGGAATACCCCTTCGGTGGGTCTATCTAAAAGACTCCCAAATTGCATAACTCTTATCTCTAGGGGGGAAAGAAAGTCCTTGAATTCTGAATAGGAGATGTGAAGGAGAAGTAAGGCAAGAGTAATTAGCATTACAAGTTCTAGACAGGGAACTAGAAAACAATCAGAACAGGGCAATTTTCAAATGTTCATATGAGAGTCCATTGAAGTTTCTTGACAAGGGCTTCCAAAAGCATCCCTCTATTGGGTTCTTGCTCATTTTTCTTTTGTTTTCCAAGGCTGGACTAGTTGGCTGGGAAGAGTGGCTGGATACTTAGGTGAGGGTCTAGTGACCCTGCTTGGCACTTCTTTAATGAATGAGCACAACCGTCAACGAGCCCAATTGTGACTGTTAGCAATCAGGCTCAGCCAAAGTTGTGATGATGATAGTTGTTTTATGCATAAGGGACTGCTGTATAGCATCATCTTATTAAAAGGACCACCATGTGGAGGCAGGATCTGGGGGCTGTCATGCAGTCCCCTGGGTTGTCAGGCCCTCTAGTAGTTGGAGGCCAGAGGGAGGCCAGAACCTGAAACTCTCTGGTGGTCTGCTGAGCTCTGAGCCCCTACCCCGATGGAGGTCCGAACTCACCCTCTTAAGCTGCCTCACAGAATATTTTCTTATCCCTATGTTTTTCTGGCTTAAACCAGTGACATTCTGGTATGTTTATACAGTACACCAGAACAGGAGCAGCTAATGGTGGTGTGGCTAAGCTGGATGATCAAAGAAGAAGCTTACTTTGAGAGGTAAGGAATTTAATTTGTCTCAAGAAAACTTTCATTACTTTCTCTGGAAATTTATATTTTCTTTTCTGTTTCAACAGTACATCAGGTGTCTCTGCTTCTTTTGGAGAGATGTTGTTATTGGTGGCCATGTACTTTCACAGCAACCAGCTTAGTGCTATCATTGACTTAGTCTGCTCCACTTTGGGGATGAAGGTAAGTTTTAAAATCTTTCTAAAGGAAAGCTAGACATTTTATTGTAGTGTAAAACAGATTCATTGTTTTCACTTAAATAGTTTTAACTGTTTGCTAATTTAAAGTTTTATTAAGGAATCTTTAGAAAATTGTAAATCCTTAGGACATTTCTTTACCATAGATGCTTGGGCCAGTGAGATGGCTCAGCAGGCAACAGCACTTGCCATGCAAGCCTGATGACTTGAGTTTGATCACCAGAATCCATGATGGAGGGAGAAAAGTCACTCCTGAAAGCTGTCCTCTGACTTCTGCACATGCCCCATGTTAAGCATGCTTGCATGCATGTGTGTGCCCCCCCAGTAATAAATAAATTAAAAATTTATAATAAATGTTCAATGTAGAAAGCTTAGAAAGGCACAAAAATAACTTTCTATCACTCAATAGATAACCAAGTATACGGTTATTAAATTTTGGTGTTCTTGCTTTAAATTGAAATGTGTATTTTATAATAATAATAAAAATAAAAAACCTTCCTACCCAACAACATAACAAAACAAAACAAACTTACTAGATGATGATGAGCATTTCTTCAGGTAAATGTTAAAATTTACTGTAATGTTTTAGTGGTGGGTAGACTGATCATGATTTACTTTCCTTCTTTCTTTATTTTTTTCTGAGACAGAATTTTCCTTTGTACCCCAGGATTGCCTGAAAGTTGTGCTGGTCTTAATGGTTCTTTTATTTCCTATGTAAATTATCCAATTTCTTTTTTCTTTTTTTCTTTTCTTTTTTTGTCTTTTTTTGAGACAGGGTTTCCCTGTAGCCCCTGCTGGCCTGGAACTGATCTGCCTGCCTCTGCCTCCTGAGTGCTGGATAAAAGGCATGCACTAATATTCCCAGATCAATTTCTTTTTTTATTTATTTTTATTTATTATTATTATTATTATTTTTCGTCTTTTTGAAGCAGGGCCTCCCTGTAGCCCCAGCTGTCCTGGAACTTACTATGTGAGTTGAACTCACAGCTGGCTTTGAACTCACAGAGATCTCCCTGCCTCTGCCTCCCAAGTCCTGGGACTACAGGCATGTGCCACCACGCCTGGCTTTTATTTATTATTTTTATTTTAAGTGTCTGAGTATATTGCCTGCATATATGTAAGAGTACCTGTGTCCTGCAATGCCCTCAGAGTCAGAAGTAAATGTTGAATTCCTCTGGAACTGGAGTTATAGATGGTTTTTAACTGCCATGTGGGTACTGGGAATCGAACCCCAGTCCTCTGCAAGAGTGACTAGTGCTTTTAACCACCGAGCCATCTCCCCAGCCCCCAATTGTCCAATTTCTTACAAAGCTTAAATTATTATCATTTATAAAATGTGGACACAGCCCCTGAAGGCTAGCTCTCATAGCTTTGGAGAGTGCTACATAAGCTGGTAAGGGAGAACATCAATCAGTGCTCCAACCCTGGCTTCAAGCCTAAAAATCACATCACTGACCAGCACAGCAAATCAAATTGGTGCAGTAGTGTTACTTTTATCTTGGGGGTAATCAGCAGCTACCTAATTGGACTTAAAGCCCACTCAATGGGAGGAAACTCGTGTCTGGTACTGTAAACCTAGCTAAATACATAGTGGGAGAGGTCATAGATCTTAGAGAAAACCCCAAGGCTAGATAAATATAATTTCTTACTATGTGCAAAATATGGATCCTTAAATTTATAGACAAGCATCCCAGTCACCACCCATCAAAGTAGCTTCCTTTTCAACAGATAGAGATTATTAGAGAGTTACATCACTGGTTACACGCAGAGATTCTCTGTGAATTGCCCAAGCCTAAGTGGTATATCTAGCATGCAACTTCTACACCTAAGACTCATGGAACATAGAATAAGGGATGAGGAGAACACTAATGCATCTTTCAGTTCTCATCAATGAAGTTCTTTATTGCAACAGAGGGCCAGGAAAACAAAAGGCCATAAATGACCAAAACGCAGAGAATAAGAGTCAGCAAAGTGTGGGTCCTTGGACAGGTCTCCTATAATGAGATCTACCCATCCAGGGCCCAGGGACTATTGCAGAAGAGGAGGTGGAAAGATTGTAAGAATCAGGGAGGAGGTGCATGACCATATGGAAATAGTCCTACAGGTGCCTGGGACCCTTCTCAATCAAACCTACAGCAATGGTGTCAGCATGCACAAGACCCGTGCAAACTTAGGCAGACAAAAACCTAGCACAGAACTGTGAAAATGAACAGCAAGCCTCAACTTAGTTGAAGGATTATTGGCAGCTGATTACTGCTGGGTGGGGAAGAGTTGATCTTGAAAGGAGAGACTCTAGATAGGCTGACTAAACCCCAGTGGATGAACTTGCACTGAGAGACATCTTAGGACACTAACTTTACATGATAGGCCTTAATACAAATGACAGAATGTATGAACTCTAGTGGGGGCTATGGGAGGATACCAAAGGGGAAAGGAGAAGGGAGCATAAAGATGATTTTATGTATGAAATACACAAAAATTCAATTAAAAAAAAAAGTGAACACAGGCAATCACACCTTTGTGTTGTCATGTATTCTCAGCCGTTTCTTTAAGGTAAAACTAAGGAAAGCAGCTTCTACATAACAGAGCATGGATTTGCCAAGGTGTTTCCTGATACTGTCAGCTTATCTTTCATACAGGTTTTTCCAGTCAAATTGTTCTCATTAATGAACGAGAGTTCTTGGTTTCCTAAAATCTTATCATACTCAAGCAATACCATTCTTTTTAATCTTGGCAAATTTGATTGTTGAAAAATGGCCCCCCCTTTTTTAGTATTTTGTTGCTTATTTGTAAAACTATGGTTATTTTTTTCTATTTTGTTTTCTTAGACAAGATTTTGCTTTGAAGCATTGGCTATCCTGGAACTTGCTGTGTAGCTCAGGCTGGTTCAAACTTTACCAAGTGCTTTTATATTGGTTCTGTTTCTGTGTCCTATTGGACCCGAGAAGCCACTTGTGAAACGAAGTAGTTGCACATTTGAACATTCATATTGTATAGCATACCCACTTTAGAGAATTAATTCTTGAGAATAAATTGCGTTTCATATATTTTTACATGCTACTGGAATAATTTTCTTTTGGCTATTTTAGATTGTCATTAAGCCCAGCTCCTTGAGCAGGATGAAGACTATCTTCACACAGGAGATTTTCACTGAGCAGGTACTTCCTTTTATCTCCGTGTGCTTACTAAACTTGCTTCTATAGTATTTGTATCTCAACTTAAAAGAATAAAATGGCCTTTTTTCATTCTTTTTGATTTGTAATAATTTGTCTTTGAAATATTTGTGAAGAATAATTCGCTGAAAGTAATTTATTTACATAGTAGTATATTTTATTTTTTATTTTATTTTTTATTTTTACTTTTTGGTCTTTTTGAGACAGGGTCTCCCTGCAGCCCCAGCTGTCCTGGAACTCACTATGTAGACCAGGCTGGCCTTGAACTCACAGAGATCTGCCTGCCTCTGCCTCCCAAGTGCTGGGACTACAGGCATGCACCACCATGCCCGGCTTATCCCCTGCTTCTTAAGACAGAATCTCAGTATGCATTATGCTGGCCTGGAACTCAAAAAGATATGCCTGTCTCTGCCTCTGGGATTAAAGGCATATGCCACTATATCTGGCCTCATTTTATTTTTTATTATTCTTTTTTATTATTTTTAATTGTGTATATGTGTCTTTGTGTGTGAGTATGTGCATATGAGTACAAGAGCCCAAGGAGGCCAGAGGCATCATATCTCCTGGAGCTGGATTTACAGGCATTGTGAACTGCCTACGTGGGTACTGTGAGCCAAGCTCAGGTTCTTTGGAAATACAGCAAGGACCCTTAACCACTGAGTCTTCTCTCTAGCCCACCCCCATCCCCCCCCTTTTTTTTTTTGAGATTATGTATTATGAAGTTCTCCCAGCTGGCTTTGAACTTGTTCTCTAGAGCCTGGTTGGCTGTGAACTGGTGATTGCAGATGAGTTGTGATTGCAGATGAGTGCCATCTCACCCGGTTTACTTCTTCATCATTTAAATATAATGAAAACATTCAGGCCATGTTTCTTATCCTAACACTCAGGACATAGAGGCAGGGTTGTCCTTGGCTAAATAGGGAGTTTGAGGCCAGACTGGAATACCTGAGATCTTGTCTCAAAACAAACCAAGCCAAAATAGAACAAAACATGTACCAGTTAATTTTCATTGTTCATCTCCATGGACTATATTAAGTGTTGATGATCTACTTGTGTTGATAGTCCACATACTAAACCTTCTTTCAAAATAATTCTGTATTTGGTACATCATATGTACTAATGCTGTTTTCTCTTTTAGGTTGTCACAGCTCATGCAGTTCGAGTCCCTGTCACCAGCAGCCTGAGTGCCAACATTACTGGGTTTTTGCCCATTCATTGTATATACCAACTTCTCAGGAGTCGTTCATTTACCAAGCACAAAGTTTCCATCAAAGTATGCCTTATATTTAAATTTCAAAATAGAGCTTACTTCTTTATCACTTTCTAGTTCATTGTTTATAGTCCTTCACTGTGGTTTTACATGGAATGTTTGGTAAGCTAAGTTATAGTCATTTATGTAGCTAGAGTTATTAGGAACCCTTTTTTTTTTTTGAGACAGCGTCTTACTATGTAGCCCTGGCTGACCTGGAACTTGTTATGTAAACCATTCTAACCTCAAACTCACAGAGATATGCCTGCTTCTGCCTCCTGAGTGCTGGGATTAAAGACATGTACCACCATGCCCAGCTTTACATTTGTTTTGTTTTGTTTCGTTTGAGACAGACTCATTTAGTCTATGCTGGCCTTGAACTGGTTAGTCAATATTAGCCTTTAATTGCTGATCTTCCTTTCCTCTACCTCCTAAGTGCTGGGGTATAGGTTTGTACTATCATGGTTAGCCTATTTTCTAAATTTTATTTTTGTCCACCAGTGTGTAAAGTTGCTGTTTGAAAATTTGTCCAAGCACACCCACTGCCCAACTTACAAATGTTTTCATTTTTTATATTTGGTTACATCAAACAGTTGAACAGTTTTCTAAAGAAAAGCCTGAAACCCAGTAGGTAAATAAATGTTTTTAAGCCATTTATAAAAGTTTCTTTGCTTAAAAAATCCATGAATGGTGTGCACATGACATATCTCTCTAGTTGTCCCTGTTTTGATTATTTAGTGTAGTTACTTGGCAGCTACATTGTGTCTTTTGTTTTTTTTCATTAAGTAAAATAGCTAAGAATTAAGAGTCCAGATACACATCCCAAATTTCTATGTCTTCTACTCCTGGGTAGTTAAGTGGTAGTTTATTATTGGTGCTTATCAAAGCCACTTTTTTAATCAGAGTGTTTTTCTGAAGAAATATCCCTCTCCCTGATTTTCCTTCTGCTGGAAGTCTTCCACGACAACACATATGGTGCTCTAAATACAGATATAGTAGGGGCTTAAATTGATTTCCTCAGTGTTCAAAAACTAATTAAACCCAGAGCCAGGCTTCTCATCATTTTAGGTTTATCTTTCACTGGACAGTATTCTTCATTAAGAATACTTAATGAATGACTTTGACTTTTAAGTCAAAGACAGTTATGAAAGTAAATAATGCATTTGGAGTTCCCAAAGCTAATTATGAGCTGTACTGGATTATCAAACCTGTAAAACTGTTTCTATAATTTTTCCTTTTTCTTATTGCCTTCATTTAAAACCTTTAACTTTTTTTTTTTTTTCCCTAGGATTGGATTTATAGACAACTCTGTGAAACCTCCACTCCACTCCATCCTCAGTTACTTCCTCTGATTGATGTATATATAAATTCTATACTTACTCCTGCATCTAAATCTAATCCCGAAGCTACAAATCAGCCAGTCACCGAGCAGGAGATACTTAATATTTTCCAAGAAGTCATTGGGGTAAATAAAATAGTTGTTCTTTTATATCTGTTAACTTTTCTCCTTAGAGGTCTTATAGGTAATTCTGATTTTAAAATAAGATTAAGAGACTGGAGAGACGGCTCAGTGGTTGAGAGCACTGGCTGTTCTTGCAGAGAACCCAGGCTCAATCCCAGCACCTGCAAGCTATCAATTATCAGTAACTCCAGTTCCAGGACCTGATGCCTTCTTCTGACCCCTGCGGGCATTGCATGACATGGGTGCACTTACATACACGCAGGCAATACACTCACACATAAAATAAAAATAATAAAATACTTTGAAGTAATATTAATGTATAGGTGTGCACACCTGTACACAAAGTACACATATATACATACTCCAAATACACATATACACCAGTAAGATTAAATTTTATTAGATCACTAATAAAAATTAAATTGTACTATTACTTCTAAGTAGTTTGTTAAACAGCACTTTAAAAAAAAAATTCCTATTGAATTTTTTGTGATTTTCATACAATATAATTTTATGGTATTCAGATCCGTTGCCCTATCCCTACCTCCCTTTATTGCCCCCCTGCCCAATTTAATGTACTGTATTATATGTTGTAATAATACATATATAATAAGGCCTATAGACTCTAATTTCTAAATATCCTTCAGTGTGGATCTATCCACTGGAGCCTGGTTAACATACCAAAAGTCCCATGCTTGAAAGAAAGCAACACTTTTTAAAGAATTCTTTAAAGAATTTAAAGAGTTGAGTTTAGATGGGTGTAGAAACAGCAGCACTGAATGGATAATCTTTTTTTTTTTTTTTTTAAGACAGGGCCTGACTCTAGCCCCAGCTGGCCTGGAACTCTCTTTGTAGATCAGGCTGACCTCAGCTCAGAAATCCACCTGCCTCTGCCTCAAGTGCTAGGATTAAAGGTATGTGCCACCATACGTAACTGAAGAATCTGTTTTGATGTTTTTGTTATTGAAAAAGAAAAGAGCAGCTCTAGCAATTTAATGGCATTTTAATAGTCTGCTCTTACTTTCAGGGTGACAACGTCCGCCTTAATCAGCATTTCAGTATCACAGCGCAGCTTTTGGTGCTCTATTATATACTGTCTTATGAGGAAGCACTGCTAGCAAACACAAAAACTTTAGGTAAGTTGTGTAGAGGTGAGTGGTTCTAGTGGTTCATTGTATTTGCTTGTGTTGTAACTTCCCAAGCAATTATATGATAAAATGAGACCAAATATTGTAGCAAACTCCAACATCTTTTCATTTTAAAATTAAAATCAATTATGTATTATTTATTATTTTTATTTTATGTGTATGAGCGTATTGCCCGCATGTGTGTAAGTGTACCTGTGTCATGCAGTGCCTGCACAGGTTAGAAGAGGGTGTCAGATCACCTGGAACTGGAGTTATGGATGGTTGTTAGCTGCCATCTGGGTGCTGGCTATCAAACCCGGGTCCTCTGGAAGAGCAGCCGGTGCTCTTAACTGCTGAACCATCTATCTAGTCCATTTTTTCTTTTCATATTTAAAAAATTATTTGAGTTCAAGGCCAGCCTGGTCTACATAGTGAGTTCCAGGCCAGCTGGGGCTATAGGGAGACCCTGTGTCAAAAAGACCAAAAAAAATAAAATATATATATATTTATTATTATTTTGTATGTATAAGTAGTGGTGGGGGGAATGTGCACATACCACAGTGCACATGGGGTGGTCAGAAGACAACTTTGTGTAGTCAGTTCTCTCCTTCCACTTTGCTCATGGTTTCTGGGGATTGAACTCAGGTTGCTCGGCTCACATAGTAAGCAAGCACCTTTACCCACTGAGCTATCTCTGAGCCCTTTTTTTTTTTTTTTTTTTTTGAGAAAAAGGTCTTTATTACGGCCCGGGGGTTGCTGGTTTTCCTTCTCTGTGTAGACTAGGGGGGCCCCTGGCCCCTTTTTTTTTTTTTTTTTTTGAGAAAAAGGTCTTTATTACGGCCCGGGGGTTGCTGGTTTTCCTTCTCTGTGTAGACTAGGGGGGCCCCTGGCCCCTTTTTTTTTTTTTTTTTGGTCTTTTTGAGACAGGGTCTCCCTGTAGCCCCAGCTGTCCTGGAACTCACTATGTAGACCAGGCTGGCCTTGAACTCACAGAGATCTGCCTGCCTCTGCCTCCCAAGTGCTGGGACTACAGGCGTGCACCACCACGCCTGGCTTTTTTTTTTTGTCTTTAAGACAGACTGTTGCTATGTACCTTTGCTATGTAGAGCAGGCTGACCTCAAACATGTGTTGATTCTCTTGATTCTGCCTCCTGAGTGCTGTGCTTATAAGCTTGTACCACCATACCTGGGTAGTTCTTAAAGTGGTCACTTAACTGTTCTCTTAAACTTAGCTACCTCTGTAATACCCACACCCATGTGGTATGTACACACACACATACATACACACACACACAAACATAAAAAGAAATCTTTAAAATTGAAGCGTTCCTGAGCTGCCTTGGTGTCTCATTGCCTGTATTCCCAGCACTAGGCTGAAGCAGGAGGATTGCTATGAGTTTGAGGCCAGCGTGAACTACACAGTGAGTTCTAAGCTAGCCTGGGCTATGAAATGAGACCATGTCTCAAAAAAAATTAAAAGGAAATAGTGGGCGTGGTGGCACACACCTTTAATTTCAGGAGGTAGAGGCAGTTGGATTGCTGTGAGATTGAGGCCAGCCTGATCTACCTGATCTATGTAAGGAGTTCCAGGACACCTGGAGCTACAGGTGTCTCCAAACCAAACTAATCAAACCAAACCAACCAAACCAAACCAAACTAACCAATCAAACAAAAACAGCGTGTCTGAAATTGATTTTGGTATGAAATAAGGGTATATTCTTGATACTGTTTTTCTGTAATTGCTTATATGTGAGCATTACATAATGTGAATGTGCTATCATTTTCTTAACGCTTTGGAAGATTGCTGCATCCACGTTTTATTACAAACCTATGTCTGTTTTTAAATTTTATTTTATATATATGACATTACTTTTACCTTTAATTTTTAAAATTACATTTATTTATGTGCGTGTGCGTGTGTGTGTGTGTGTGTGTGTGAAGAGCAGAGTACAACTTGTAGGAGTTGGTTTTTTCCTTTCACCGTATGGATCCTGGGATCAAACTGAGGTTGTTAGGCTTGGTGACCAGTGCTTTTACCTGCTGACCTATCTCACCAGCCCATCCTGTACCTTTTAACAATACTGACTTTGAATTTTTTCTTTTCTCACATATTTGATATTTTACATGAATTTTCTAATTTTGTTAAATTACATAAAAGAAAGTACATATATTGTGATTTTGATCAGAGTTATGTTAAGCTCATAGATTAATTTGTAGATAAGTCACATCATTTGCAATATTGTCTTTTCATTAGGAATGTGAAATAATCTTTAATTTTTAATTACTAAGGTTTCAGCTTGTGTGTGTGTTTGTAATTCTACATATGTGTGTGCATATGTAGGTGAGAAGTTGAAACTTGTGTCTTCCTTGAGCCTTTTCAACCTTATTTTTTGAGACAAAGTCTTTCACTGATCTTGGGGCTTACCAGTTGGCTAGACTGTTTTTTTTGAGACAGGGTCTCCCTGTAGCCCCAAGTGGCCTTGAAATTGCTATGTATAACAGGCTGGCCTCAATATTACAGCAATCCTCCTGCCTCTGCCTCCCAAGTGCTGGGATTAAAGATATGCGCCACCACTCCTGGTGTTCCCTAATTTTTTAAACTGTTATTATTATGTGGGTATATAATGTGTATGTGTTGGAGCACAGGTGCCATAATGTTTGTGTGTGGAGGTTAGAGGAAAAGTCTATTGAATTTAGGTCATCAGACTTTCAAGGCAAGCATTTTACTTGCTGAACCATCTTGCTGGCCACTGTTTTTTCTTTTGTTTTGTTTTTGTTGGTTTGTTTTTGTTTTTGTTTTTGAGACAGGTTCTTACCATATAGCCCTAACTGCTGTGGAACTCTCTATGTAGACGAGACTGGTTTTAAACTTACAAAGGTCTGCCTGCCTCTGCTTCCCAGGTGCTGAGATCGTAGATGTGTGCCACCTTCCCTGGCTTCCCCTTTTTTATAAAATACAGGATCTCATATAGTTCAGGCATACCTCAGACATGGTATGTAACAGAGGATAGCCTTGAATTTCAGATCATTCTGCCTTTACCTCCCAAGTGCTGAGATTACAGATGTGTCACCATGCCTGGTTTTATGTGGTGCTGGAGATCAAGCCCAGTGCCTTGTGCATGCTAGGCAAGTACGCAACCAACCTACATCCCCACCACAAGCTTCTTGAAGGCTAATTATTTTTTCTTTTAAAATTTATTATTTTGTGAGAGAGAGA